CTAGATAATTTGTGTATATACTACTTTTGCATGTTGATGAAAAACCCAAGGAAAATTCATTCAAACAGATGGATGACACACATCATTGATCTAAAATATGAGCCAATCAAATTTATGTCAGCCACCTAAATGGGTTAGAAGTTGTGTCCTCTGATGAGTACTGGCGATTGGCACTCACCCATCAAGGTGAGACATTTTATGTTTCACATGAGGGCATAACATTCATCGAAAGCAATAGGTGATTGTTTCTTCGGTGAAACTCATTTAATACACAAAACCCCCCTATATTCCTTTACGGTTTGAAGGACATCTCGATGAACTGATTGATCTTCTGTCTATTGTGTTCCTTCTCCAATTTTTAATCTCCAACTTTTCGATATCATCTTTGATCTTGTCATACCATTGTTTCTTTACTCCACCTTGGGCTCGTCGAGAGTTCGCGAAATAAGAAAAAAGAACATTTTTTGGCAGCATAGGTTCACCGTTAGTAGTCTCCGCCGGATTTACGTGCCCATATCATCTTAACCTATTTCTTCTCATGATGTTATCAAGACTTGGTTGACCAGTTAAATGTACCAAATCGTTCGGCATTCGATCTCCTAAAGTGGCGTCAAGCAATGTTCTTAGACATCCCATATAGAATGTTTGTAGGCGTCTTTCTTCATTTCCTGTGGAGGCCTATGTCTCACTTCCATGCAACAAAACGGGTAGTAGTGCTCGAAATATTCTGACTTTTGCTTCGACCGACACACTTTTCCTATACCAGATAGGGGTTCGAAGTATATCAAAAGCTTTCGAGGCTTTTGATATTCTTGTTTCCATTTCCTTGTCTTGCGTTTGATCTCTCGACATGTTACAATCAAGGCATGAGAAGTTTTCCACCTTCCCGATCTTCTCATTTCTAATCACAATGTCGAAATCAACAACATCCATTTCTTTCTCGGTCTTTCTTCCCGCTGCACTTTCTCTCAGTTGCTTCAATGACGTTATGCAGGTCTTTCTGATGTTCATTGTTAACTTGATAAAGAAACAATATTGTATTGGATTCATGTAGAGCAAATTCCAAAACATATGTGTGTAAACATGCTGTTGGTGTAATGATGCATTTTGGTCATTATAATCTACAAGATCCGGGACTACAAACTACAAAACTTATAGAAATGACGTGGAAGACTCAAAAAAGCAGGACGTGCATTGTCACGTGCTTGATTGGTCTATGTAATTATGGTACTGCATCAGTAAATAGATGCTAATAAAAAGGTGAAATATTTCTCGAAACAAAATCAGCACCTCGTTTAAAGCAATGTTCTTAATCTAATTAAAACCCAACACTCTTCTTCCTGTGCGGACACCTCCTTTGTTTACTGTGCGTATCTAGTATGATTGACGATATCGTAACAGTGACAACAGGACGTAACAAAAGTTCTCTCTCTCTCTGTCGCCACAGAACACGCACGGAGACTGAGATATAAATAAAAAGGAATAGTCAGAAATGAATCAAGCAGTCTACTCAATATAGTACTTTTTCGACAAAGTATTTTTATTTCGTAGCTTATAAACTGAAATGATCAGGAATTTTTTTTTTCAACTTTTAGATTTCAATGAGCGATATCAGATATCACGTCCTGATAAGAGTGCTGTGTGTTGGCCGTCAAACGACTTGAAAGCTGGCTGCATGAATGCGTGTATTGTATAGATAGAACGCAAGAAAGCAGTGCCTATATGTAGTGACCTCATGACGATGGGAATATGGCTCATTGAATCTAAACCATTATAAATAATAATTTGGAAGTTGAAGAGCTGATTAATCGCTTGATAAAATTAAGCAATAGAAATGATATGTAAAAATTATATCTTAAATTCTATGCGACCGATCTTACGTCAATTCTATAGATGTCTTGCAGGAATCTTACATAATATAGTGGATGGAAATGCGTAAGATATTAATAAGATGCAAGATCCTGAACAGGGTTCGCCAAGATGACTTATATAGTTATTTTGTAATAGTTTATAAGATTTTGGTAGTCAACATCGAAAACTTTTATCCTCTTAATCGTAGCGCCTGAACATGTGCAAAGATAAAGTTAGGGAATTGTTGATAGTATAGATATTTCTTCTTCTGTGTCTCTACACTCCTTACACCATAGAAGCATGTGCTGCTATTTTACTTTTTTCAGTATCTATAGTTAGAAAACTCTGTGAAATTTTACGCTGAATTATTTGGCTATCTGATTTAAAGCCATCAATTTACTCCTGATTTAGGCGTTTTTTCTGTCATTCCGACATGAGAGCAGTTATACAACCATGGTACATAGTCTAGTTGATTTTCTTTAGAATGAAGACTTTCCGTACAAAAGCGAGGTATCCACTGTTCGTTACACTGCTAGCTGAAGTCGCTGATTTTCTTTTTTACTATGCAAAGAAAATGAGTAGTCAAATAGGGACGATCGAAAAAGTGTCTCATTTAAACATTCAACTAAAGTCAAGGTATTTGTTGCTATGTCAAGCAGAAAAGGTAGGCTGTGCCAAATCTGAGAATGGAAATACAGATACAGTGAAACTTTCCCGACTTTTATTTTAAAAGCAAATTCCAGCCTTGTGTCTCAGCGTAAGGAAAAGAAACCTGAATTCTTCAACACAAATATCTTAAGGTCCCCTGTCAAAAACCTATTTTTGTCCCAGAACAGCCGATCTTAATAAAAATTTTCAAAGAATATATACTTGGCCTTATACAACTGATAATATAACTTGAGCTCGAAATATTGAGTTTTCCAAGGGTTATACTTACATCTTCAAATTCTAACAGACTTCAGGTTGACGGTAAAATGTACGCAAGGCTTGCAACTACAACTTACGAGTCGGATTTTTGAAATTTTTTTGTTTATTTCTTCCGAAAGTTTTCTTTTAAAAAGTTGAGGCTAACTTTTCGAAAAACTTTACTTTTCTCAAAAATTAAACTGAAAATAAATATCTGTCGCTGTTAAGTTGTAGCATTGAGTCCTAGCTTTATTTTAAAATCTCCCGGAGCTTTCTAGCGTTTAAAATGGCGGAGAAATCTTCTGTGCACGAACAGAGAAAAACGCATAAACAACTTTTAACATTAAAATACGTTTTCTCTTGCCTAGTAACACCCAACTGTCAAACAAAATTACACCACAAAACTGGTGGAACATGCCAACAGATCGGCCAAATATGTTACCAAACACATCGAAAATTGCATCCAACTGGTATTATATACCACTGAACTGAGTTCGATTTTTGCAGAAGTTTGGCTAACAAAATTTCTGCTGGGTATGACCGAAGAATCAGAAGGTTTCTGGAAATGTTCTTTTTAACTTTGTATGCACAAATACATGTATTGACATACAATCAGCGGAAGATTGCATAATGATTTAATGATTTTAAAGATTTCATTTCGAATACAAGCAACGGAATTCGGTGATACAGTTCGAACGAACTAAACCGTCCAATATCGTTTCCATTCGATTGACAATATCGGCCGAATCTGCTTGAGTGGCATTTCGATTTGCTCCATCGAGCTCTTGAATGAGTGAACAGGCGCCTGTTCGTGTCAGGAATTCGGACACTTTTCCTTCGAAATCATCGGCTGACAGTCAATTTACGTCGAAGTGATAGGAGTTTTCGTTTGTCATCACCAACTTTTTGACGATTATCTAGATTCATCGGTACCCGTTCCATGTCACGAATGAAATCAGTCAGATCATTCCAATCCATGTCTTTGAGAAGTTGCGGCTCTTCATGATGAAAAGATTACTCATCATCATTGTCGGTTGAAGTCCACTCGTCGTCTTCATGCTCTAGGTGAGAGTGAAAAGGGTGAAAAAAAAGTACTGTAAAAATTAAGGACACACTCAAATAGACAATCTTCACTTATAGTAAACTGCGTAATTATGTCAAAACAATAAATAAAACTATTAGTACTGAAGATAAGATAATTGTCAAAAAAAATTGTCTTTTGACATATGAAATAATTACTGTACTCACAGTAATTATTTCATCAATAAATATAAATAAGCCAGCTGCATCAATAAAATGTCAACGTCAAACAAAAGATTGCATAATGAAAAGACACAACTAAACAAACCAGAGCTGTCAAATTATCATTATCCAGTATAATTATGACTTTCCAGTCAAACTTTGAAATTCTCGATAATCTATACCTCACAGAATTTCAAAATATAAAACATTTAGAATTTCAGAATTCTACATGGGTTTCTTACATGCTAAACTTTTTAGTGTCTGATAAAATGTTGATATGTCGCTGATTCGCATATCGCAATTGCGATCGGAGAATTTTATAAAGTAGAAAGTTTTTGTCATATGAGCGTAACATTTACAATAATAAACAGAAACAACAAGAAAATTAGTGTAATAGCAATTTACAAAGTGTTCACAGCCAACACAGTGTGTGGATCTGAGTGAATGCTTTTAATATTCAAAACAGTTGAACCTGGTAGAGCAAACATTTCTGAACAAAATGAGCTCTCTATGACATATCTTCATTACACACCATTCAATTTACGAAAGCCTCTATACCATGAAAACCACCAAATTTAACCAGAAATCATGACAGATATGCCATCAAGACCTTTCGTAAGTTGAATGCTGTCTCATGACCAAATGTTCTAGGGAGCTCGGAGACGTCTCATTTGTTCAGAAATGTTTGCTCTAGCAAATTCAACTATTTTGAAAAACGTACTGACTGAACTCGGAAACGTGGGTTTTTGAGACTTTTAAGGTTTTAGATTTTCCAGAGGTCTTGGTTTCAGGAACGTCGACGAAATTTTTGTGGCGGCCTTATATCATTTATGTCGGTTTTCAGGCGATGACTTTCTTAAAATGTAATGTATAGACAAATCTAAATTAGTATCTGACGAAACGATGATACTACGATTTCAATTGGCAACAACCTCAGTCTCTATTCAAACACGTTCTCGAGTTATTCAATTTGCAGATATTCTGTAATGGATATACTACTTTTATTTTTTCACGTTAACAAAATTCTCACTAACATCTTGCTGCCACGCACTAACAAATTTCTCTTTCATGTCCTTCTGAATGCCAAAGGATACTTCGGCTCCGCCTCGATCTCTTCCTATCCATTGTGCGCCATCGTATACAGGATTTAGACGAAACACACGTAGATATAATGCATTGGTTCCCGCCGTATAGAAACGACACTTGTCCCTATAGCCAAAATCAACGAGACCTGCCCAATCGTATCGAAGAGCGGAGTTGACCATGACTTCATTCGGAAATTGCCTCAAGTTGATCTGTCGGTCGTCACGCACCATTTGTCTCATCAGTCGATCGGTAGTGGCCAGCCAAGGCTCGAGAAATTTAGCATCACGCGATCGTATAACCAAGCGACGAATCGTCTTGGCAATGCTCGATAGTGATAGCGCATCGTCGAAATCATCGGACAACATCATAACGACGGCATTAGCAACTAGGCCACGTGGAGCGATCGACTCAGAGACGCCCCGAAAGTTGATGATCGTATTGGTGCGTAGAATAATACATTGAGCATCATTTCGAAAACAATGAGTGTTGAATGTAAGGATAATATAGGCAGTGAGTGCGTCTTGAATGGTCACAATATTTCCACCGGCTAGTGTGCGTAATTTGGCGAGTTGTTCACTCGAGAAGCACATATTAAGTTGATCATGTGTTGCTTGATCGACCATATAGTTTTTCGCTATTTCTCCACTAGATCTAGCATCGCTCAGTTGTTTCATCATGGGTACGAGAGACTGATCATCTTCGTCTTCCCGCCATAAACGTCGTTCGAAGACAGGTAACGGTTCGAGCGGTTCCATTTGTTGATACAAACGTGAGATGGTACTCAGAAAGTTCAAACAGGCAGTGCCATCGCCCAATACATGTGCCCAACTTGTGCCCAGCACCCATTCGCCACTTTGTACGAGATGAGTAAGTTTCAAACGGAAGAGTGGCTCATCGTTAGAGTCACCTAGCAACTTTGTGACTTCTACTTCGTCGAGAAATGGCTGAAGTGGAGTTTGAGTTAATTCAACCAATACATTCGAATCGAGAGGCCATTTGACGAGATCAGTGTTCTCGGTCAAGAAGACTGGAATGGCATTGTCGGACATTTCAATTATATAGCGATCACCGTCGAATAAGAGAAAACGACCAGCGATGAAAGGCCACAGAGAGAGAGCACGACCAAGTGCGTCCATGAGTCGATCGATATTCAACTCAGACGGATAAACAAATACATTGTTGATATGCGAAACGATCCACAGATCGATGCCAGCAAGTTCGATACGACGACTATTACCAGTCGGTAATGATGGAGGAACGAGCCAATTCGTCATGTTCGGATCTAAAACTTGTTGTATTACAGACCGGTCATAATGATAGAAAGGGGCTTCTTGTTTTGGTTAGAAAGACGTTGTGACGATAGAGAAGAAGGAAAAAACGATCGTATCTCATAATCACATTTGTAATGACACTGCTATTAATGAGTAAAAGTAAGTAAAACTTTTGTTCTCGAACACACAACTCCTACCTGCTATGATAAACAAAAGGTATGTGAAAATAACATATAGCACATTTTGTCCTTGTCGCTTATCATTTCGCAAGCTGTTTACTGTTCTAACAAAATAACCATCCAGCCAGGTTAACTTGAGAATACTCTTTCGAAAGAGTGTAACTTATGTATCCGAGGATGGGTGATGTATACATATTATTTTGCAAAGTTTGTGCGAGTGTTAGAATGACAGACCCAAAAAATGACATACATTCTTTCTTTCTCCATGATAATCACCGTCGATGTCAATACCACATGAATAGCGGAGTAGCCAGGATTCCTTAGCAGGGTGGGCTCAGCCCTGCTATTTTTCAGAAACCCAGAAATGGTGGTGTGAGTTTTCTCTAACCTGTAGCAAAATCCAAACATATTTGACATATGTGAGGAGAAACGAATAAAGCAGAATGAAAGAAAAATACTCATTGAACACGAGGGGAGCTGACAAGAGCACATATTTAAAAAACCGAATAGAGATGTACCAACTACCACTTAATAACCTAGTGGATGGCATATTGCAAAGAGAAAAGACACAGTGAATGGACACACTAGCTGATATCATATGAAAAGAGACTATGGAGAACATACGAGAAAAGAGCGTGAGAAGAATGAAAAACAGACACGAAATATAGTGACTAGAACATGTGATTAGAGGACATAGAGAATATATGAGAACAAGAAAAGACGCCGAACATAGTGACCGATGAGAGATAAGAGAGGGCACGGAGAATGAGATACAGGTATCTAAAAATAACAATAAGTAGCCGCTACAGAATTAATCGAAATCTTTATACTTCAAAAAACAATGTGATATTCTTGAGACACCTAAAAAATGTTTCCGGATACACTCAAATATCTTGAGGGTGGGCTCAAACAGTTTTTGGGTGGGCTTAGCCCACCCCAGCCCACCTGTGGCTACGCCACTACACATGAAGTTAGCTGCGTACCACAATCAAATAGAACAAATGTATGAGAGAGGGCGCTTGCTAACAAAGAGGATGGCTTTTTTTCAAGAAAAGAATAGAAATAAAATCGCTTTTCTGTGCTGAGAAAATGTATCGGGCATGTATTGTTGGAATGATCATGGGGGCGACTCAGCCTCGAGAGGCTATGTGACTTGTGGGGTGATTCCACTCGCTTCCCTGCATTCTTTTAAAACATTCGAATCACCACCCTACAGTGAACAAAAGTATGCATGGATTTAAGAAACTTTCATTTCCCCGCTGAGAAAAGACATCATTACGGTAACAAAGACCAACAACACATATCTGCGTTTTACCGATCTGTACGAAGTTGATCTAAACTTTAGTTCTTCCGTCGACCCATAGGTAAGAAAGCGTTTTGAATCCAATGGGTATGATCAGGGATGAGCTGTAAGTTTCGAGACGCGAAAAATCGAAAATTCCAGTAAAATTGTGCATTTCTTTGCCATGCAACTCCGGTTTCGGTTTTTCTGAGAGTTGCATGTTCATCTTCTCCGGCACGTAGAGCCGAATTAATTACTGGTTTTTTTGTGAATTTTCTTAATTTTCTAATGTTTTTGGGTTTTTGAAAGTTTTTAATTTTTTTATGCCACGCGTGGCTTTTGAGTTTCTTTTCAAGAAAAGAAAAGAGAAGATAGAAACAAAAAGAGAGTATGCTTAAGAAAGTTTACTGGGTCTACCTTGCGTCTATTAAATCAAAAACAATATAAAATCCAATGACAAATGTCGAATTAACTTCTGAAAAATACATTCGACAATCACATTATATCCGACATTGTGTATTCATTGGACAGAAAAATATTTGAAAAAGTGTGGAACGGAAATGGAAATTTCTATTGCAAATGGAAAATTTGAGGATTTGAGAATTTTGCAAATTGAGAATTCGATTGATAACTGAGAATTTGAGAATTTAGGAAGTGGAGAATTCTGTTGTGGATGAAAGTAAATTATGAACCAGAGTCATTCTGCACTTCTCTTTCATCTGCAACAGAACATTCTTTAACTCTAGATTAATCTTCTCTCCAATCCAGTTTCAAGAAATTGTGTTAAATCGCGTACTATAGACTAGACCATAAAGACCCAACGTATCATAATTTGCATATGTGATGTATCTGCCAATGACTCAATCATATAATTGATTAACGAACTAACTTGTTCTATTTTGCAGAGAACGAAATACTACGAATAGAAAACAACTTTATCTCTTCTAATGTTGACGTTGCCATTCAATGCAGAATAGAAAACTAGCCAAGTTCTGAGACTTTAACATCTTTCCGTCACTTTTATTTTGATTCAGAAAAAAAGCTAAACTGTGGGCCCTTTACCTACACTTGCTACCCGTCTTTCTAATCTTGAATTAAGAATCGTCTTGGTGAAATTTTCAAAAGTTTCGATGTAGTCCAGTGTAAAAGTAAATTCTGAACGGCTTTTGCACACGCATTTTGGCTCCAAAATGCTTCCTTGAGAAGACATTACCGACCCGAAATGCACACTTTTAACCTCAAACTCTCATTAAGAAGGTAAAAGTTAACATTTTCGCGAAAACTCCTTCAGAAACGATGAAATTGTTTTTCTATATACAGTTCGATGTACTCTATTGAACTAAACAAGGACTAGCGCTTCTAACTGAAATCTCAACCTTTTATAAAATTTCTAGAAATCGGGAAAATTCTTGGAAAAGCTTCAAAGTATTTTTTTCAACATGACAACGTCCGTAAACCGAACGAACTTCAAACTATGCACTGCGTAGGGTCCTCTACAAACTGATAAAATTTGGAGTAAATCCAAATAGGAGGGATTCCTTTAAAGGTATCAGATAGTTGAGATCTATTCTGCTTTAGTTTTATATGGAAAAAGATTTATCTTCCTTGTGCTTTTCATATAAGCATTCACTACAAATTTAATTACTCTTCGTTAAAGTGTAAGCTTTTAGTAGTTGTCTCTTTTATAGATGCAATTCCAGTTGGAAATACGCTTATGTGCTTGCTGTTTTCCTATGTTATAAGCAAGAAATTAAAAATACTGACATAGAAATCTCGTTGGTATTCTGCATGAATTAATGATGAATGAGAAATGAACGTTCTGTCTAATGGTATGTTTAAAAAGAATTTCGATGTACTTTGCAGTTGGTAGATTTTCTGAAAAACCCGGGATTTCTAAGACCTATATCTCAGAAACCGGAGATAAAGTATTGGGATCTCAGTTGATTTATATGTAAAAATTGTTAAATTTAATAAGTATTGTGTCAAACGGCTCAAAAAGACAGATCAATTTGAACACTCTAATTTTTTGTTTGTCGGTCAGATGTTTATATCCTGACACTAACATTTATATTAAAGAAAAGAAAGGGAATCCAGATGTGCCTTGTATGTAGAAGAATAGACAGTTGATCCATAAAGGCGAATACCGGTTACTGAGCAGCGAATTACAATTTATACCACTATGGCCTATAATCTCGCGTATATGGAATTTCAACAGTCTACTTATTACTTATCTACTTATCATTGGTTAAAACGTGTTAAATATTATCATCAACCATGCCAACAATATCATGATCTAAAATGTTTTCATGATGAACAACAAATGTGTTTATGTGCTGAGGATCATCGAGCAGATTGTTTTGAGTTTGATCATAATATGACGTATAATTGTGATGGACATAATTACTGTGAAAATGGTGCAAAGTAATGAGTATGATGGATGTCTAGAAGATTTCATGTGTGTTTGTCCCGAGTGTTATTTTGGAACGGTGTCAGTTTCTTGTGTCAGTTTTCGACTTCGGATTTCGCTCTGTCATTAGATGCCCTCATTGGGTATCAAATACAACCGAAAATTGACATTAGAAAACAGCCTGCAATTGTTAAACTGAGTATAACTATAACAACAGTTATGCTTATATTTGGTATGGCTTTGAACATATGTTCAGTAATCACATTCAGCCAAAAGAGAGTACAAGAGGTTGCTTGTGGTACTTATTTATTATCATCTTCCATCATTTCTCTCTTAGCCATTTTTATATTTGCCTTGAAATTTTTATCTTTATTATTAATACAAGTCCTGAGTTTAAGCAATCAAATATTTCTTTCTATCAATTGTGTTCTAATTGAATTTTTATTGAAATCTTTACCAACATGTGGTGAGTGGCTTAATGTTTGTGTTACGATCGAACGTGTTCTAACTGCTTCAAAACTAGTAATATATAAGAAATAGAAAGGTAAACGAACGGCAAGAATTATTATCTTTATTCTATGTACAAATGTTCTGTTCGCCATACATGACCCGTTGAATAGGCGTTTAATTGAAGATCCAATAGATAAACGTCGCTGGTATATCGTTTCATATAAAGATTCATTGAAAATTTATGATGCAACAATGCACAGTGGGCATTTTTTGCTAGAGCAGGCGGACTTTAGCTTTATGAGTGAACTAGAATTTCATGAACCATTTATTTGTAGGTTTTCCATGATCCTCTTTCTAATGGCATGAGAGTTGGGTTTTGAAAAAGTTTTCTAAGGGTTTTTCCAGAGATCCGGTCTCTGGAAAACCCCTCAGAAAACTTTCTCAATATTTAGAAACGTTGCCACTGAAAAGAGCCTTGTCGAAAACCTATAGGAAACATGTTTTGAGTCGTTCGGGTTACTTTATCTTGAAATGCAAATTTTCAGCACGGAATTGTTTCTGTGAATCTCAAAAACTAAGAAATTTCTGGAATTTAGAATCGAGCGACCGAAACTAGATGAGTTATACACCATTCGATGTAGTTTTTCACGCTGATTCGGAATATGACCTTATTTTTACGAAAAAGTTAATTTTCGACTGAGAAAACTCTGAAATACTTCGATATCCTTAGAGGTTTCTGTCAAATCTGTAAAAACTTAAAGAAAAAGTTGGGAGGTTTTGGGAGCTTATGGTATATATAGCAGTGTGAGACGAAACGTTTGACGTATTTGGATGCT